TTTCGCTGTAAATGTTAACTTACAGGACATAAGTATACATAAATATTAACAGTATAGTACACAAAATAATACAACCCGTAACAAAACAAACTGTAGTTAGTACAATCATAAAGTTAAACCATGATTTAACACAATAATTCGTTACATAGTGTATAAAATAATGATTGTACAAATTGCAATTTATAAGGCTAACAGAGTCCTAAACATGCGACATAATAAATACAATCGGTGCAGTTTCATTACACACTTTACAATAGTTTAGCACAGTTCGTTAGGCCTATAAGTTTCAATATACTACAGTACAATAGTATAGAGAGGGTTAGTAGAATTAATTTATCTAGTAAAAAGTTGTGTCTGTTCCTAAGGTCAAAGCATTTTAAATACATTGTATTAGGTCTTAAAGTACCTGATTTTTGTCTGTGTATGTGTTTTTACAAGTGCATAGCTTTTACATTCTTAAATGATTGGCTTAACTTTGTCCATCATAATAACAAATATTGTAGGATCTATCCTTAAACAAAGTCTTATGTTTCTAATCTGTGCCAATTACATATGGCGACCATTCAACAATTTCCACCTAAATTGGCTTGAAACTTTGATTTGACGAAGAAATATAAAGGATGTATTATTTTATGATATTTATAACCAATCTAGCAATGCTTAGATTGGTACAATCGGTTTGTAAACAACAAACAAGATTTAACTTTTTGTCGGACCGTCCATCGTCATGATATGTACATCACCACTTCACCAGTGCAACCTGGGAACAATTTGAAACATCATGAAATCCATATATATGGTCCAACAAAAATATAAATAATATATAAATATAAAACTGTTCAGCTGAGTTACACACGCCGCCGTACGACCGCGCCGGGGCTATAGAATACATTCTACATGTACTTGTATTCTATAGCCCCGCGACCGCACACTGTACAGTACAGTTGAGCACAGCTCAGTCAGTAGGTACTCACTACAATACAAAAGGAATAGTTGAGAGCAGTTTAATACATAATCATACTACATTACAATGATTATTGTATATAAATACCATTATTGATTTGGTTATGCTTGTTTTCGATTCTGCATCCTAAGAAACATAGAAAATGACACCCCACTTGTTTGAATCCTATAAGAAACATAGAAAATGACACCCTACTTGTTTGAATCCTATAAGAAACATAGAAAATGACACCCCACTTGTTTGGATCCTACAAATAAAAATGTTTTCAAAATCACTACTCCCATAAATTTTAACCCCTATAAAATGGTACTTCCAACCCCCCAATCACTAGGGACTCATCAGATTTCAAAAACTAATGGCAAGTACTATGTTTCTTGCAAGTCTCATGAACGGACTAATTTTTATGTTTTCTAATAGTATTTTGGTATAATTTTACCTGTACTTATTAGACAACTCAAGATGTACGGCCCGGATTTTTACCCCCGGAATTTAACCCCCGGATTTTTACCCCCCGGATTTTTACCCCCTGGCCGGATAAAGAAATTATTAACAATGATTGATTTACCTATTTCTGTTTTTATTTAATTGTAAACATTTGATTATTAAGTAACCTATCTTTATTTATTTATTTTGTAATCTCAACTAAGTAAACATAATTCGCTGTTTAATTTTGTTGTTCGGAATTTGTGTTTAGGGCCAACTGTTGGTTGATAAGTATGTAAAATAAACAGAGTAGCTCATTTAAATAGCATTAGGGTGAACATTTCTTAAACGATTTTATTGTACCACCGTGAAAAACAATGTATTTCGTTTCTGTTGTACAATTACACAAAACAAAAACATTGTTTTACCACGGTTGTATAATAAATCGTTAAAGAAATCTTCAAAACAATTACCATTCAGATGTTTGTTTATATATCATAACTAGCAGAATACCCGTCCTTCGTACGGGGTTGGTATATAAGTATAAAATGCTTATTGCAGTGATGGGAGAGGAGACGGTTTGAGATTTTTTTTTTATTTATACGGTATCCTGTAGTGTAGCACACATCTACCATAGCCCTAATGCTCTACCACTGCACCTAAACCATTCTGCTTGTTTACATTTTTAAACTTTTTAGGTTCGTTCTTTGTTACCATGGATACCATCAATCAATGTTTACTTTTAAATCTCTCACCTCAACTTTTTGAAAGCCCACGGGGCAGAGCCCTAGGACAATATCGAATCGGGAATAGTTCTATATGTATCCTCGGAGCTGTAGCTTCAATTGTGTGCAATTTGAGCCCAGTCGGTTCAGTAGTTTTTGAGATTATCTCATACAAACACACACACACACACACAGACACCACCTCTTCTTTATAATATTATATAGATGAACCAACAGTTGGCTTCAAATATCGAATCCTGATACTCGAATCTCAAAATTAAAATTAAAACCCTGTTCGATTAGTTGTTGTTACAAATAATTTGAGAAAGGCTACTTAATAATAAAACGTTTACTTTAAACTAAAACTGAATGAAGATAATTACCCATTCTCACTAATTTATATATCCGACCAGGGGGTAAAATTCCGGGGGTAAAAATCCGGGGGTAAAATTCCATGGGTAAAATTCCGGGGGGTAAAAATCCGGGGGTGAAATTCCGGGGGTAAAAATCCGGCCCGTACAATCTAGGTTTTTATAATTTGTTGTGGTCTGATTAAATTCACAACCGTGAAAATATAGGTTAATTCCGCTTTCAATCCATCGAACTGATGTCGCGAAAATCAAAAGTTCGCGGCCGGAATTTTACCCCTTGGTTTGTGACGTCACGTTTGTCCAGGGAGTAAAATTCCAGGGGGATAAAAATCCGCTACCCCAACAGAGAGTCTACTTCAAAAACGCTTTTCGTTTGTAATAAACTGTCCGTCCATTATTAACGGAGTTATAGATAGTGATTCGTAGAAATCGCCTTAAAGTATTAAATATATAGATATAGATACAGTAGATATACTTTGTGAACAGATGGATCCTAAATATCATCATATTTTTGCCAAGTTCAAAATCAATCATTCAAGAGGTTCTAAATTTGTTAACGCGTTTTGTTTTTTGTAAACACACTTACAGATAGCAATCTATCCTTATTATTTATTACCATGTTTATATGTTTTTTTTTTGGTTGACCTAAAGAACAAATACCATAGCTTTTCCAGAGAGTTTGTATACACCATGTATTTACGGAGTTCAGTGCAGTTAGCCTACTACATACGCTGCCGTACGACCGTCGACCGTACAGTACTGTACACACTACGATGCAAAATAAATAGTTGAGCTCAGTTTTAATACATACAGAATACCCGAGAATACCAATACACCGGGTGTTCAAAACTCTGGCAACGCCTTAATATTTTTCTTATTTATTAACGGAGAACAATAAAACTCTAAATTTACGTCCTCAATGTAGTTACTGACTTTTTTGTTAATTTAAACGGTATTTTTTCGCCTTGGGGGGGACGTCCTGTAACGAAAGTCTCAAAAATCTTAAATGTAAGCATAGGTCGAATTATGCCTCACGTTAAAGGTCGAGGAACACTGCCGCAAACCTGACTGAAATGGGTTCGGAAATAGCAGCCTCAAAAAGTTCGTTAATTTTTACATAGAGACAGAAGTAAATACTCAACCGTGTTGGTTATGATGGTGTTTTTAACTTAGATAACTTTACATCTGGAGTGTAGAGGGAGGGAAATATCACTGCTGGTCGATTTAAACGCGTTAATTAATAAAAAAAATATTAAGGCGTTGTTAGACTTTTTGAACACGTGGTATACAGTTTAGCACTTTTCAATATACTAGATACCACTAGTTACTACACTTCAATATTCCTATAAGTAGTTCAGCGCAGTTACTACAATACTGTACAATATCATACGCACGTCGATATACGAGTATTATAACAAACTACAATATTCTCAGTTCAGCACAGTTTACTTAACACTACAGTACAATATATACAATTCTCATATTACTGCAGTACAGTACAATATACAGTTTTCATACGACTGTACAGTAAAATACAGTTATGCGAACCTCTATATAGGAGTGTTATAACTCTCCGATATCGGTTATAGCTATATAGGTTGGATTGTGTTATAACACAATCCAATATCTTTTTCAGCTCAGCACAGTTTACTAGACAGTACAGTACAATTAATACAATAAAGTAAGTAGGTCTTCATTATGAACACGTAGCCAGGACGTGCCTCTAGTTGATCGTTCGGATACTTTTCATGCAGTTGCTACTTTTTTTATTTTTGGGATTCACCATGATAGATCAAATATTCGCGTTTTACAGATGTAGTCCTATAGCCTACATAAGCCTACGAAAAAATGAACAAAATATTTTGCTCCATAGTTTATTACAACTATTTAACCTGATACAGTAAATCCCTCTCAACATAACCACGGGCTAGTTATCCTACACTCATCTCAATTCATATTTGGCTTAAAATACCTACATTCGTATGGTCGCCATTTCTAAAGTTAAGTATTAAGAATTTATAATTTCAAATACTCAGCATTATCAGTTTTATCGTGGAGTAACAGTCGCTTACTGGTTGAATAATAACAATAAGCTATATAGGCCTGATGGACCGATTTGGAACAATTAAACTAGCTGCATCTTTACCTCACTGATAAACATTGAAGAAGTTTAGCGGTTTATCCGTATATTATGATCTATTGTATGAGTCAGCCACGAGGGTCACGCTTATTGCAAATAGAGAAAACAAGGTACTGTTCATCACGTGGCTTGTAAATGAAATGGAATGAAATCCTTTTTTATTGAGGTGAACTTAGGACATCATGGTCCTTTCTTACAGTTAACCTCTCTACTAAGCTGTCCATCTTGTGCATGGCTGAAGAGGACTAAGTCCTAAAACAGCCTCAGTCCAGTAGGGTTTCAGCTCTCTGGATTGGAACATCATGAAGAGAGATCTTGTGCATTTCCCCCCAAGTATCTCCGATAGTACTTCTCCAACCTGGTGTGTTGTGTTGCAGGGGACAAGTTCCGGCTGGTGTTGGCCACGACACTCCGCGAGGATGGGTTCCCGGATGCTGGAGATTGGAACCCTCAGGACTCCGAAGGTTCCCGTGCAGATAGTTTTGAGTACGTAATGTACGGAAAGATCTACCGCATCGAGGGTGACGAGAACTCCAAGGAGCCCTCCAAGAACAAACTGTAAGTAACTTATTTGTGTGTTTATTTGATAATGTTCAGTTCCTAAGTATGCCAAGAAGTTTTAATACTTGCTGAAGACACCCGTCAGGAACCCCAAATAATACGTGGTCCATTACGTTTAGAAGAACCATTGTGATCGTGAGTGGTAAAAAAGCGTCGATGGATTAGCGTGTTTATCTATAGGTTTATGTTTTAATTACTTCATGATGCATTTTATGGCAGTAGTAGAACCTTGGCAAGAAGACTCTCATAGGGATTATAAAAAAAAGACTTTTTATCATGTTGACTTCTTTTCAAGGTTTGCAATAACATGTGAATAGGGGTAAAATAATTTCAAGGGATTTGAAAATGACCCTTGTTACCAAGGGTGGCTTATTATCGAGGGTCTTGTTATCGAGGTTCTACTAAATATTAACCTAATATAAAGTTTTCTGATGCAGATACAAGTCTGAGTTATGAAATGAGATTTTTTTTCTTGGTTGTATTGGTTCGCGTACAAATTTAACTCATCTAATTCAACTCAAGAATGACGAATATTAATGATATTTTATCATTATTCTACGAAAAAATCAACTTAATGCTCATGTTCATAGGATCAGTTTTAATCAAATATTTGCAGTGGTGGTTCTAGGACTTTGTCAAGGGTGGCTAACAGTGGAAGGGGGTCCTACCCCGGAAAATTAGCTTTTTAAAAGGCGATTGGGGACTTTTTAAAGCCCTTTTTAATGTCTAGAGCTGCGTCCAAAAGCCTTCGTTACGTTTTTATGACAAAATTAATGTTTCAATTTATATTTCCAGCTTCCAATGGAACCGTCACTGAATATTTGTAAAATAGTGTTCTTTGTTTTGTCCACATTAACTAAGTTTAGGTAGTAAAAATTCATAACTGTTGCCCAGTTATTAGTTTAGAGTTAATTACTTTTAAACGATTAATTCCGGCATTAGTTTAAACCCGTCCAATACAGTATTAAATATAGGTAAGATTATTTTTTACTTAACCTATAAATTAAATTCTGATTCAAAACCATTACGTCCAGACTTGACACACTGTGTATACAATCGCAACGCTGTCACTGGTGTTTAGATATTTGAAAAGCGAAAAAGCCTTTCAATTAAAAGGAAGAGAACGATTGTGTGCCTAGGACGCAAGGAAGGCCGAGAGTGAATAGGTTTGGTTTGGCAAACGGAATGACCTTGGACAGAGTAGATAGTTAATAACAGTCGACATGGATGGCGCGTGGTGTGGCGGTGTGGCCGGCCGCGACGGGGCCCGTGTAGGGCTACACAACAGTGCTAAACTATGTTACTACAGTACACAGTTTGTTACTACATGTATGGCCCATGTTGTGATGGTGTGGTCGGCCGCGACACCGCGACGGGGCCCGTGTAGGGCTACACTACAGTGCTAAACTATGTTACTCCAGTACACAGTTACTACATATGTTTTGCCCATGTTGTGGTGGTGTGGCCGGCCGTGACGGGGCCCGTGTAGGTCTACACAACAGTGCTAAACTATATTACTACAGTACACAGTTAGTTACTACATGTTTGGCCAATGTTGTGGTGGTGTGGTCGGACGCGACGGGGCCCGTGTAGGTCTACACAACAGTGCTAAACTATATTATGTACTACAGTACACAGTTAGTTACTACATGTTTGGCCCATGTTGTGGCGGTGAGGCCGGCCGCGACGGGGCCCGTGTAGGTCTACACAACAGTGCTAAACTATATTATGTACTACAGTACACAGTTAGTTACTACATGTTTGGCCCATGTTGTGGCGGTGAGGCCGGCCGCGACGGGGCCCGTGTAGGTCTACACAACAGTGCTAAACTATATTATGTACTACAGTACACAGTTAGTTACTACATGTTTGGCCCATGTTGTGGCGGTGAGGCCGGCCGCGACGGGGCCCGTGTAGGTCTACACAACAGTGCTAAACTATATTATGTACTACAGTACACAGTTAGTTACTACATGTTTGGCCCATGTTGTGGCGGTGTTGCCGGCCGTGACGGGGCCCGTGTAGGGCTACACAACAGTGCTTAGCGAGCTATGATACTACACAGTTCCTACAAATATGTTTGTCTCTTAGGTGTTGGGTTACACAACAGTGCTTACTTTGCTACCACTGTACAAGGAAAGGGGTAAAGAGAAAACGTTTTTGTAGTGTCTTACAATGTCTTGATTTAATAATATTGAAAAACATTTCATGACTATGTATTTACTAAATCCTACGTTACTAGATCTAACGTTATAAAAACGCGTTAGTTTATACAAAGTATTGGATATGCTGAAAAAAGATCTAGAATATTCTAAAATCTTTGTTGTCGTTGGTATGGTATGGTTCGCTTACTTAAAACATTAAACTGTAGTTTTTCTAGGTCCGTGAAGTTGGCGTACCCATATTAGCGTATCCACTTTTGATCATACCAATCGTTAGTTCATCGTTAGTTCTCGATAGTTCCCAATTTTTTTCGTTAGTTCTCAAAAAATAAAAAAGTTATAGCCGATTATAAGTGGGTACGCTAACTTCACACTTCCGGGTTCTAGCACGGGCCGTATTCTGAGGAGAAATGTTTACATCTATATACCAATCGTTAGTTCTTCGTTAGTCCTCGATAGTTCCCAAATTTTTTCGTTAGTTCTCAAAAAATAAAAAAGTTATGAGGCATACAAAGTGGGTACGCTAACTTCACGATTGTACAATTTCCAGCGGGAACAATTTTTTTACTATAAATGCCTATATCTATATACCAATCGTTAGTTCTTCGTTAGTTCTCGATAGTTCTCCAATATTTACGTTAGTTCTCAAAAAATAAAAAAGTTACGAGGCATACAAAGTGGGTACGCTAACTTCACAACTATACAATGTCCAGCGGGCACCGTTTTCTGCCTATAAATGCTTATATCTATACACCAATCGTTAGTTCTTCGTTAGTTCTCGATAGTTCTCCAATATTTACGTTAGTTCTCAAAAAACCAAAAAGTTACGAGGCATACAAAGTGGGTACGCTAACTTCACAATTATACAATTTCCAGCGGGCACCGTTTTCTGACTATAAATGCCTATATCTATATACCAATCGTTAGTTCTTCGTTAGTTCTCGATAGTTCTCTAATATTTACGTTAGTTCTCAAAAAATAAAAAAGCTACGAGGCATACAAAGTGGGTACGCTAACTTCACAACTATACAATTTCCAGCGGGCACCATTTTATGACTATAAATGCTTATATCTATATACCAATCGTTAGTTCTTCGTTAGTTCTCGATAGTTCTCCAATATTTGCGTTAGTTCTCAAAAAATGAAAAAGCTACGAAGCATAAAAAGTGGGTACGCCAACTTCACAATTATAGAATTTCCAGCGGGCACAGTTTTCTAAATAAAAATGCTTATATTTAAATACCAATCGTTAGTTCTTCGTTAGTTCTCGATAGTTCTCAAATATTTACGTTATTTCTCAAAAAATAAAAAAGCTACGAGGCATACAAAGTGGGTACGCTAACTTCACAACTATACAATTTCCAGCGGGCACCGTTTTATGACTATAAATGCTTATATCTATATACCAATCGTTAGTTCTTCGTTAGTTCTCGATAGTTCTCCAATATTTACGTTAGTTCTCAAAAAATGAAAAAGTTACGAAGCATAAAAAGTGGGTTCGCTAACTTCACAATTATAGAATTTTCAGCGGGCACAGTTTTCTAAATAAAAATGCTTATATTTATATACCAATCGTTAGTTCTTCGTTACTTCTCGATAGTTCTCAAATATTTACGTTAGTTGTAAAAAAAAAAAAAAAAAAAAAAATTACGAGGCATACAAAGTGGGTTTGCTAACTTCACGATTATACAATTTCCATCGGGCACCGATTTCTGACTATAAATGATTATATCTATATACCAATCGTTAGTTCTTTGTTGTTCTCGATAGTTCTCCAATATTTACGTTAGTCCAAAAAAAAAATAAAAAAGTTACGAGGCATACAAAGTGAGTACGCTGACTTCAAAATTATAAAATTTCCAGCGGGCACCGTTCTGACTAAAAACGCTTATATCTATATACCAATTTTTAGTTCCATGCACTGTAATTTGATTCATCTTCACACAATGAAAATCAAAGTAACACTGACATTAGAATAACTATCACATTATGATTCTCTCGAAAAGAAAGGATTGCTTATCAGTTCCAGGATAGCGCTTATCTGTGATATCCGCAATAGTAGTTGCAGGTGTCACTCGGTTAGATTATTTTTTAGGAGTGATAATTTTGAATACGGTATCAAAATGATTAACAGTTGAATATGTTCAGTTAATTAGAACATCCAAAAAAGACAACGCTTCCAAAAATTGGTTTTAGATAAGCAATGAAATCATATTTATACCTACTTAGTTGTGTGAAAAAGTGCATTTTATAAAAAGTCCATCATGGAAACAAAATATACTATCCATCAAAATGAAAACCAGAGTCTGCTAAGTAAAATGGTATAAAGTAATTTATAAGCAGTGAATGTTTTATCTATGGTACGATCAAAGAACTTCTGTTTGGTTAATTGAACTAATCGTTTGTATTGTTTGAATTTGTTTGTGTTCGGTATTAGTATTATAAAATTACATCATTAAACGTAACACGTAACGAGTGACAGTTGCACGGATCGAGACTGGAAGGTCATACGGACTTGAACAAACTGGAGACTGGAGTGGTGGATGGAAAAAATGTGTACAACACATTACTAGCATGGCGTATTGGGTATGGCGGGGTCGAGACAATATTTATTTAGTTGTATAGTAGTATACTGTAAGCATTTTTCGTTGAATGAAGGTGCGCGCTGGAAATCAGAAGTATTAAATAAGTTTATCTATTCATTACTGGCTATACGTCTATTTATTTAATTTTTTTAGAACTAACAAAAAAATCGGTGAGCTATCAAGATCTTACGATTAATATTAGGATATAGGCACTTTTAGTCAGACAAGGGTGCGCGCTGGGAATGATTTG